CGCTAATGAGGTGGCTCGGGATGTCATCCTCAAGCCTGGAGATCCAAGTTTAATCCCCAGGAACCACACAGAAGAGAAGAGACCAGAGTTTGCTGCAAGCTGTCCTCTGACCTCCGCATGAACACAGGCACACGCACATGTAAACACACACACACACACACACACACACACAGAGTGATACACAAGCACATAGACAGGCACATACACACAGACACACACGGAGACATAAACAGGCACACACATGTAGTTTTAAAATGTTAAACATAAAAATAAAAACAAAATAAATAAAAAATTGAAACAGAGTACACTGCACAAATGTACACGTATGCTTGGAAATAATTGCATCCCCCATGCCAGTCCAAGCCTTTGCTGTTAGTGCCGCATAATCACACAAAGATATAATATATAATGTGCACATCCTACAGCCTTTAATTCTGTAGAAATAAGACACTGCACACATCTGATGTTTTGTTGCACAAATTTTGACATTTTAAAATAACTCCGTATTAGTCTTTTAAGGCAGCAAAGCCACTCCACTTCTCACAGACATCTTTCTTATGGCCATGTCTCAGAAGTGTTCTGGGAAGCTGAAGCACCGCGTCCCACCCTCACCGCATACGCAAGTTTAAAATGGGTCTCGCTGAGCACGCATTTATGTCAGTGGCAACTGCTGCTGATTCCTGAAAAGAACGGTTGAGTCTGTGGAAACAAAGGCACTGCCATGCATTAGGAACGCTTGTGTGTTAACACAGAGAGGCCCTTCCTGGCCCTGGTGGCCACCACAGTGACTTGCTTGGTGTTCCTAGTGGAGGAAATGGCAGGGGCAGTTCCCCCCATTGCTAAATGCATGTCATCCTGCACTGGCAGGCCCTGTGGCTGAGTGCGTTGAGAAGAAAAAGTTGGGCCTCTCTATTGTCTCTATAACAGTAAATTGGCCACAGCTGAAATCTCCATCTGAGTAACTTCATTTAATAGGAAGAATGGTTGCTGCCCAAGAGACAAACTAGGCAACACAGTAACACCTGAGAGCTATGCAGTGTCTAACATCCGGTCAGAACATGCGTGGGAGCAGGGCTCGAACCCTTGCAGTTCTTCAAAGGAGCGAAAGAAGTTGTATTCCATGACTGGGAAACTGTCTCCCTCAGCATAGAGAACGCAGCTTGGAAAATGGTGAGGTAAAGCAGAAAGGAGGAAGGAAATAACTGTTTCTACAAGACTGACCAAAATCCACTGTAATTATATCAACTTAAAACAGCCTCCTTAGAGGAACTGATAACTCTCCAGTCAAAGTACAGTGTAGGGTAGCTAAATAGTACATACATTCTTGTGCCAAGCATGGGCACGCCATCTGTGAGGGGCTCAGCGGAAGGGACGCTGCTCTCTGCCTTCCGTGTTTGGGCCTCTGACTGCCTTCATGTCGTAGAAAATGCTCCGAGTCTTGCTGCTCACTGTGCCCTCCTCGCCTCTGTATTGCTCATGCAGTACATGGACCTTTGTGTCTCCTGCCCGCCATGAATGGAGCACACTGTTCAGTAGCTCACATTTATATAAGTGTAAAGTTGATTGCAACTCTTTCTTTTTTATTCTGGAAAAAAGAAAACACATTGCATTTACAGACTGAAGTGTCTATACTTCTAATAGACAGGTTAGTTATGCACGTTTGTGCAATCTCGCCTCTATCTGAATTTGTCAACATCTTAGAGAAAGCTGGAGTTTCTTAACCTCAGCAGTTAAAGAGAGGTTAACATTGACTAGAATTTGAATGTGCTTGCATTGGTCCATCTGCTGACTCACAGTATCGTCTGGAAGTAAGGTCACACATCTGTAATATGGCCACCCAGAGAGCTGAACTGCACAGATACAGAGTCGAGAAAAGATAAATATCCTCTGCTGGGCTTTGGTCCTTCTCACTTGGGTACCTCCAGTAAGACTGATTACATCTGCACCCATCCTGAGCAAACGAAGCAGCATGTGCTTGCAAAGTGTCCTAGCATCTTCCGGAAGGAAACTCAAGCAGGCTGCTAATGTGAACGATGCTTCCCTCATTTCTCTATTAGGAAGAACAGCTTTCCCTCAAGGGCCCTTGCTCCTTTCCCCACCTGGACTGCTTTCCTCTAGTTGGCTCTGTTTGCCTTCTGAGTCTCATGAGGACCAGCTCAAACCCCCTTTCCCTTTGTGAATCTCTTCCTGAGCCTTCACAGAGAGCAGTAATCCCACCGCAGCCCCGAACACCTGGACACAATGCCCATGCTACTTAACATTTCAGGTGTTTGGGGTTAGCAAAAATTCTTACATTTTCAATTTTGTTTTCTTGCATTTCTTTCTCATGTGTCTTAGAATTGGCCATAATGTGCTGAATCATTGTGAAACCTGTAACACCCAATGTCATATGGCATACATTAAGAAAACACCTGACAATTTAGAAGAAAAGCATCGACAAAAGAATTTGACTGATGTAAAAGTATTTAATGAAAGATTATTACAGATGTCATGAGAAATATCTATGTATATTTAATTCTTTTATGATACATGAAAATGTTTCAAATAATTTGATTAAACAATTACAATAGAAGAGGTTTTGATTTCTCAACTAGACATAAGAAAATGGTTCGTAGCCAGCAATGAAGACAGGCGACAGATGTGCAAATGTAGAGATGGGGATGGTTATTTGGACTAAACCAAAATCGTATTTTAGAAATTGCTCTGCATGTTACCTGGTTATTTGTTCTACAAACCCGTAATGGTTCTCCTATTGCATTGCTTTCTGTGTAGTATTAAATTATCTTAAAATAAAAAGTTAGCTCCCATACAAACTATAGTCCGGAAATACCCAAACCATCATGCTTTGCTCTTATTCTAAACAGACCTCTTACCAAGTCCTTCAAGCCTGTAGTATATAAACACAGACACACCTCTGCATCTAAAACAGACTGGGCAAGCCAGCTGTCCCAGTTTATACTCTTCTGATAAGTTCAGTATATTTAGTTTTCATACGTGCATGCGTGCGTGAGTATGTGCATGTATGTGTGAATGTGTGCGTGCACATGAGTGTATGTCCCTGTGTATGCATGCACACATGAAAACCATGGATGTCATTCCTCAAGTACAATCCACCTTGGATTTTGGAGGCTGGGTTTTTCACTAGGCTTGGGCTTGCCAAGTAGGAGACTGGTTGGCCAATGAGCCTCAGGAATCCCCGTCTCTACCTGTCTGGTGCTATAAATCTCAGTGTGCCCTACCATACCTGGCTTTTTCACATGGGTTCTGGGGACTGGAGGTGAGGTTCTTATGATTTCACAGCCAAGGGTTCACAGACTGAGCCATCTGCACAGCCCTGCACAATTTAAATTTAAGAGTGAAGCTCTTGGGCTGGAGAGATGGCTCAGAGGTTAAGAGCATTGCCTACAGTTCCAAAGGTCCTGAGTTCAATTCCCAGCAACCACATGGTGGCTCACAACCATCTGTAATGGGGTCTGGTGCCCTCTTCTGGACTGCAGGCATACACACAGACAGAATGTTGTATACATAATAAATAAATAAATATAAAAAAAATAAAAAAGAGTGATGCTCTTGTTCAGAAACGAATCTTCTAAATTAATTGTGCCAGTGCCGCTGCAGCCATGACTGAAAGCCCTGCACTAAGCCGAATATAGCATTTAAAGTTGAACAATACCCAGCACAGTGTTGTGAAATATGGCTTGCTGTGTCAAAGACGAGCAGTAGAGCATGCTGAAATAGCAACAAAAAATGAATTAAAGAGGAAACAGACTGCCCTGAATTTGCACACCTTTAATTGCAGGCCTGCTGCTCTGCTTTCTGGCACCAAGCCCTCACACAGAGGTTCCTTCTGCCTTCTTAATTGTTCTTCACTCCACGGTCCCCCTCTATACTACCCAGTCAGCCACTGAACATTAGTGTAGGGATTTGTTTGCTATGAGACAATGATCTTGTACCCTGTAAAGATTTGTCACTTGTATTGGTTTAATAAAATGCTGATTCACCAGTAGCCTGAAAGGGAGTATAGGCAGGGCCACCAGAACAGGAAAATTCTGGAAAGAGGAAAGGCTCAGTCTGCAGTCGTCACCCAGATACAAAGGAAGCAAGATGAGAATGCCTTGTTGATAAAAGGTACCAAGCCACATGGCTAACACAGAAAAGAATTATGGGTTAATATAAGATGTAAGAGTTAGTTAATAAGAAAGCCTAAGCTAATCAGCTAACTAGTTTATAATTAATAGGCTTCTGTGTGTTTCTTTGGGACTCAACAATGGTGGGACCAGGTGGGACAGAAGCCTTCACCAACTCTGCCAACATTTGTGCCAGGAACTGTTTTGGAAGAGTCAGCTGACACATCCAAACAGATGCTGTCCTGATCCCCTAAATTATCAACTTTTCATTTTACAAAATCTAGTGTAATTTCAGCTTCACTTCAGTTGCCCAGTAGGTTCAACCAAAGTGATACATTCACTCTGGTCTGTGGTAAGGCTGGGTTTTGACCAGAATCCCCCAGGGATGAGATCTATAAAGAGCATTATCCCTAAAAAAATAAGTGTGAATATCATAATGATAATGATATGAAAAGTATTCAGAATTATATAATATCAGAGGTAATTCTGCAAAGCACCTACAAGGGAAAAAATAAAACAGGTGAAATTGTGGCAGGAAGCAGAAAAAGGAAGAATGACCTTAAATCAGAATTTAGGATAAAGAGCAAAAAAATGAAGGGTAAACAGACTAGACAAACCAGAGGTTGGATTAAAAATGGAATATGATAGAAATGAATATTTATTAACACATCTTTAGAAATAAACCCAGGGCAAACAAAGAAAAGCTGAACTGTCACAGTGGAGGTGTCTACATGTGGTAGGCTACAGTGAAAGATAAGTAATTATTCCAAGGAAACAAAACAGAAAAAAGTAAGGCTTTGGGAGACGGAGCACTCAGTAAAGACTGAGCAGCAGCTGTGTGCAAACCCTGCACCTCTGCAAAGGCCTTGGCCAATGCTGGAGTCGCGATGGTAAATTGTAGCACAATCAGTTCCAAGTTCACCCTCGGAGTCTAATTTGTCCCATGTTAGTTCCTCCATGCTTTTAAACCATTTTATGAAATGCCTATTGTGTAACATTAATTAGACCTTTCATATACATCTTCAGATTTCTGAAGTATTAAAACACTGCATGGCATCTGTGCATGTTTTTCACACACACACACACACACACACACACACACACACACACACACATCTAAACACCTTAGGATGTATTCGTCTGATTGAAAAATAGAAATATGGGCTCTAATGAAGTACAAAGGGTCCGTAGTAAGGTAATACAGAAATGAGGTAAAAGATAAGAACAACAAAACAATGAAATCCGTAATAATGGTGAGGATATTTTAAATTACTCCTGAAAAGCTACACGTCTAAAACTTTTCAAAACAAGAAAAGCCTTTTGACCAAGATTTTAATGTACTTTTTTTTCTGTTGTTGCTTGATATTTTTTTCTAGGTTCCAAGTTAAGAGAGCTGAAATGGACCCACATAGTTATAAAAGCTTAGGAGACAGCTTTCGGATGATCTTCCGAACAGAGGGGTATGTAATGTCTTTCCTGTGTGGATTGCATATTGATATGATTGTTCTAAAGTATTTCTACTTGACAGATTTTCTTGTTTTTCAATAGTTTGCTTTGCAATCCTAGTCTTACTGGAGAAAACACTCTTAAAAGTGTGTCTTCCTATTTTGTTATATTTTTCTTAATTTGAATGTAAACTTAATATGTATATAGTGGAAACTACTCCAGAGAAAATTAATAACCAACCTGATGACTTAGGGCAATTGATAGCTTATGATACTAAGGCCACGAAGTTTTCTTAACTGTATTATCCAAACATAATAGTTATATTTACTTTGGGACTTAAATCTAATACACAAATTGATTCCTTGTTTACATAGAGGTTTGAGAATCTATACTCAGGACCTTCTCAGAGTTCCCCTTGATCCTACCTCTAGTCCTTAGAATCAGCTGCCCACCCCAGACACACTTTCTACCAGGGACCCCTCTGTGACTGTCCTGTACTGGGTTTGGGTACATGATTGTCATTATTCTTCCTGTACTCCGTTGCCATCTCTCCAGAGTCCTGCAGCAGTCAACTTGCAGGAGTCCCTACTTCCTTTCTGTCTCTATTCCTAGGAGTCTCTGTCTCTTGATGCAGATCCCAGCCTCCCTAGCTCTTCCTGGTGACCCTTCTCAGTTTCTCTTCCTAGTTCATCTGCAATCCCTTCTATCATTGTCAGACCTATAGAAACATTCTCTACAAGGGATTCTAAAGCCACCACACTTGCCTAGATTCCAGAGAGGGCATGAGTAACCAAAGAACAGAACACCTACCGAACAAAGAAAAAGCCCAAATGTTGACACCAAGAAACATCTCAAATGTCATAACTTCAGATGCCTACCTCCCAGCACAAAAACCAACATGAACAGCCAAGACAATGAGCCTCCTCCTAAAACCAGTAACCTTATTGCAGTAGGCCCTCAGAAATGCAATTTAGCTGAAACAAGAGCCAAGGACTTCAAAATAGAAATTATGAAAATGTTCAGGGACTTTATGGAAGACACAAATAAATCTATTAATGAAGTCTGTGAAAATATAAACAGTTAAATAAAATAATGAAATCAAGACATGAAGGCAAAATTAAAGAAATAGAATCACTAAAGAAAACCAAACTGAAATAAAACTGCAATTGAAAAATTTAGGAATTCAAACACAAACCTCAGAGGTAAGACACTCCAAAGAGACTACAAGATGTGGAAGAGAGAGTCTTGGGTGTTGAGGATAAGATAAAGAAACAGAACCCAGACAAAGAAAATGGTGGAATTGGGAACTACAAATACTAGAAAAACATGAAGTATTTGTATTTCTAGGTCTGGGACACCTGACTCAAAATACTGTTTTTCAATTCCATCCATTTGCCTTCAAGTTTCATTGTTTCGTTTTTCTCTTATACTTGCATAGTATTGCATTTTGTATCTGTATCACATTTGCATTTCCAAGCTCACAGCTACTGCAAACAGAGCAGCAACAAATACAGCCAAGCAAGTATCTGTGTGGTGGGATGTTAGGTCCTCCTTTGGGAATATGCCAAGAAGTACGATAGCTGTGCCATGTGGTAGATGAAGGTTTAGCTTTTGGGGAGCTCTCCACACTGCTTTCCAGAGCAGCTGCACCAGCAGTGATTCAGGTCCTCATTTCACCTTGTCCTCAGCAGCGCTGGACGTCAGTTGTTTTCCTGATGTGAGTCATTGTGTGTCAGGATGAAATCTGTTTTGTTGTGTGTGCACATCCATGTGCCCACAAACCACAGCGATTGTGTAGTTGTCACGTGACAACTTGTGGAAGCTGGTTCCCTTTTTCTGCCATGTAGCTTCCAGGGACTGAGCCTGGGTTGTCAGAACTGCTGACAAGTGTCTTTTCATGAGCCCAAATTTTAATAGTATTACTATACATACTCGGAATTCTCCAGGTAACTGTGTGGTAGGTTCCCTCCCAGTTGTACAGAGAAAGGAACTAAAATTTCAAGAGGTTAGCAGTGTTAGGGCAAGGACCCAAATCCAGACCCACTTAAGCCAATTATTGATCATCTCACTGTTTTATGTGTCTAGTGACGCTGTGAATGGCATTCTGCTTGGTCATTATTTCAGTGAGAACTCTATCATGGATATCTTGCCATGCCAACATAATAATCTATTTATCTGTATTCTATAGTTTGTAAAATGAACCTGTTTAGTGATTTTTATGGAGTTTTCTCCAATATTTTCACTATTGTAAACAGCATACTCATTTATATATCCACACATTTTATATATCTGCAAAGCTTTAAGACCAAATGTTATGTACATTTTATTTTATAGATATTAAGAAATTACTTTCTATGTATATATTGACTTTGTGCCCTTAATATTTAAGAATTTTTATTTCTCCTCACTCTCCCAAGATGATTTACTATTTTTGAATTATTACTTGGGGACTCTGTCATTAGTGTGCATCTCCTGTTTACCTTCCAATAAGTCAGAAATGAAATTGTATTACATGTCACTGGCCCTGAACATACTAGGGGCCGTTTCTTTCATTAATTAGCTGTTTGTACCCTTTACCCATTTCTCTTGGGTTAGTCCTTTTTTTAATTAGCATTGATTTGTAGGAGGTTAGTACAGATTATATTATAAACATAAATTCTTTGTTACATATGTTAAAGACATTTTTCCTAATTTGGATTTTGTCTTACGACTGTTAATATGTGAATCATTCTGGAGTTTGGGGTGTTCTAGGTCATGATTTGGTGGGAATATCTCATTTTCCCTTGAGCTATGCACCACTAGCATACTAAAAAAAAAAAAAAAAAACAAACCAAAGCAAAAATCACATTCTGAACCCCAAGATAATAAGCTTTTTTTCTGATATTTACACTGACATTTTAAGTTTACCCAGAAATTTTCCATAATATTCTGTATAAACATTAAATTTCACTTTTAAATAATTAGACAATTGTCCAAATATCACCTGAAAATCTGTCCTTCATTCGCTAGTTGGAGATGCAATACTCCAGCTAACAAACTCCTACGCGCTCCCCATCTCAGCTTTCTACACTGTTTTTTTTTTTTCTATATCCCATTGTTTCGTTACATTGTCCATCTCTAGACAGGCATCATGCTGATCTAATTATCTTAACTGTGCCAGTATCATACTTTTTAAATAATTTTATCAGCCAAGTATTTGGGGACTATGTAAAAACATGCCCTGTGGCATAAAGTTCAAATTCCTGTCATAGTGCACAGAGCCCTCGCTGGCCTGCGTTCCTCTTCTTCAGGCTCGTTTCTCAGACACAGATTGCCATGGGAAAAGCGAGCAGCATGAGGGCTTCTGATCCTCTCACTCTTGGAACTTTTGTAAGTTAACTTGCTGGAGTACCCCATCACCTAATCCACCTAAGAAGCTCTCTTCATTCAAAAGTGACTTTGCTTTTCACCACGCCTGCACACTTTCTCTCCAGCATATGCTCAGTTATTTCCCTTCTGTCCCCATATACATGCTGCATAAAACAGCCCCTGTGTTGTTGCCTTTCGTGTTCCATCCTCAAAATGTCCATTACTCATTTAGCTTTGCCTGCCCAGTGCGATGTTTGGTCTGAGGAGAGACACTATAAGTACATAACCATGCAGTTTCAAAGTCCCCGTAGCTACTACACTAGACTGCTGTAAATCAAGCGGATGAGCCATGCTGTGGTCCACCCTCTCTGAGGATGTGATAACGGAGCGTCAGACATCGCCAGTGTACTTGTATTTACGATAAGGGGTATACATCATGCTCGTTCTGCTCAGTAGAATGAACTTAAAGAAGTCATAGTATATTACATAGTCAACAAGAAGTCCTTTCCAGTCAAACAGTCCTGCTGGCATCAGCAAGCTCTCTGAGCTGAAATGGATATCTCCGAATTAGATGTGGTGATCCTTCGCCAGGCTCTTTATTTCATTTATGTTTTAAGGAAAGCTGATGTCTCTGCTTTGATATCAAATAATACAGCAAACACACAGTGTGTGTGGTCCTTGTGCAGCGAAGTTGTCCTTTTCCTACGCTGCACATATAATTGCTTCTACAGCAAATTGACTTTTTCTGCAGTGCCTGCATTTCAGACATGCTGTCACTCAGAGATCAGAGAGCCAGCTCTTAGAAATAGAAGGCTTTTTTGTTTAAAAAAGGCTGCATGGAGATTTTGACGCCCAATAAGAGCGTTTGAAGGAAGCTAAACAAACGACAACAACAGAAACGCATAAAAGAGTGAGAAAAACTTCTTAATACATGCTGTTGATTTTTTTCCTCAGTAAAAACCAGCCTTCTTTATTTCCTTACTTGGTTTCTAGTGCACTGTGCTTTTGGGGCTGGTTTCAGGTGCATATAGGCCTGTATGAACTCTAAAAGGAGAGACTGGTTCATTTGCTGGTGGCATCTCCAGCTCAAAGACACTGCAAATCTGTTAACGTATCTAATCTCTGCGAACACACCCACTTCCCCACCGTAAGAGTATGAAGTGTCATCATTACTACTCTTAGCCATGCGATCCCCACCTCTGTGTCCAGAATTCACCCTACTGTCAAGAAGACAATTGCTCAACCACCACAGCTTCCTCCCCTTTCTGCTCTGTCCATTTTCTTCCTTGTTAAAGACATGGCTTTTTCAAGAGTGAGTTAATTTAAAATTTTTTAAACCTTGACAGATTCTCAACAGAAGTCTCCATGCTTTGTAATTCTCCTAATTTGCATTCACTGAAGAGAACATAGAGAGATCTCAGAACATGAATGTAAGAAGGAGATTTGTCCCTGTAACTAGAACATCTCTATCACCCTCATAATTCCTTCTCACTCTCCACCCTGACAGCAGTAAACTCACCAAACAGCCTATGTACTGGGAAATAAAGTAATCATGAAAGGTGACAAAGACACAGTCAGTTTGGTTAGGGGCTCTAAAGTCAGTAGGTTTCATGTGCAATCTCACCTGACAAGCTGTGCCTGACACCCTGTCTACATGTGTTCATGC